TACTAATGAATTCATTCCACTGCCGTCCTAAAGTTTCCAAACGAGTTTCGATATAAGATAAAGTTAGTCTATCGTTTGGCGATTTTTTGAAATTTGATTTAGATTTAAATATTTTCGTAGCAATGTCTTCCTGAATCTTAGTGTAATTTTCAGCCATGACTACTATTAAATAAAGACAGAGGTAAAGATATAATTACTTATTTAGATTTACAATTTGGTCCAAACTGAGTACAATAACTTTCCACGTGAACAAAACACAAGTATAAACTGACAAGAATTCACATAAATATTCTAAGTGTTGGATAACTGTCCCAATTTACACTAAGGGTCGTATTCTAGAACTCTACTCAATGCTCAAGTCAGGATTGCACTGGAAATACGACCCTAATGGCAGGGACTTGAGTATGATTTCGAGTGCTTTAAACCATACTCAAGTCCTGACTTGAGCATTGAGTAGAGTTCTAGAATACGACCCTAAGTCTCGTACAGTACTGACAAAAATCACAAGTCCGACGATGACGATTTTTCTACGTGTTTGGCAAAGATTACTTGCTCCGAAAACCGGCATGGATTCCCCGTCGGTTCACTTTTCTGCAAACTATTCTAAGTCCAAAACACTTTTAATTGTTTAAAATTATTCCAAGTCCAAAACACTTCCAAATTTTTTTAAACTTTTTTCACTTCATTAATGCACTTGATAGATAAGGTTCAAATTGTACTCATGGTTTTCTTGACACTTTAACTCACGCGCACAACCAACGCTGCTTCCGTCTCGTCCGGTAGATGTCTCAGGTGTGCACCCCTTGCGCCGTAGCTCTGTCTCTGATGTCACAGCGGTGACGACGTCTTCTTCCGCCTCCCGTTGCCGTAGGCCAAAGCACCTTTGGCAACAATCCGTTGCTCCTTTGGCGCCGGGATGGACGATGTACAAGTACTACTTCGCTCCGTATTAAACCGGCAACTCGAAGGACCATGTATAGCGTCCCAAAAATACCCAAAATGAAACAGCCTGTATGTTCTAATAACACGTTTTTTATTTGTAAATCACTCCACGGTTATACAATTTCCGTGAACAACTCAATAGCGCGTTTTAGAAAATTGCATAAAAGGTTCAACGCCATCTAGCGGCATCTTACCTAAACTAAATTTATGTATAATGTTAATAGAAGTATTAACAATTAGTGTAATACACGAAGTACATATCCTACCCAGACGTAGCTACTAAAATATGTACTACTACGCAGCGTATTCGCGGGCGTTTAGTTTATGTAAAAACAACTTGGCATTACTTAATTAAATGGTGAAATTACAGGCACATGGGCCTTGTCAACCTTTGTCTCAAGTGATGGGCGCAGTGATAGTACCCCTCAGATCTTTGCAATTTAAAGCTCTGAGTGGCACTGTAACTGTTGAGTATAGGCGTTTAGCTTACCATCAGGCGCACGAGTTGTTCGTCCCGTCACTTGATGTTATGAAAATAAAAAATAAGTTTTATCCGTTTGTGTCTCCGTGTCTATAAGGATATTAACACCCGAAACTGTAATGCGAAACGTAACTCACCAGTGTTATCCTCTTGAGACCACGGAGCTTATCTTTCTGCGACTCAATACTCAATACTCAATATATTTATTGCATTCATATGGTATACATGTCTTAAATTGAAAATAATGCTACACATATGAGCCCTTTATTAGGGATAACAATAACAGCAGAGGTAGGCCGATGTTTCAGTTATTAATTAAAATTGTTATTTATCAAATAATAATATTGAAAAAAATGTCATATAATAATAAAGAAATACGTCATATTATGAGTAGAATTATGTCACTTGAAAGTTTGAATTTAATTAGATTACAGTAGCATAACTTTATAGATACATAATTAACATTTATTTATTATTCAAATTTATTTTATTTTTTTTATTTTTTTTATTTTATTATATGGTACAACAACAGATAACAGACTACAAATAATACTTAGAACTATTACATATATATAACATTACAAATCTGACATCCAATTATAATTGTACACAACATTTATATTATCATAAATTACAATATAAAAGGACAGACGTTAAAAGTTTAAGTTTAAGTTATTTTTTGCCAATACCAGTAAACAGTGTTGTTTTGAAGCCTTCAAAACTACAGGAAAAAATGTCATGGTGGGAACATATGCTATTATATGATCGACACATTCTGCACAAAATGGTCCATTCTGTGAAACATTATTTTTTGTAAGAGGTACACCAAACAACTGCGGAGTACGCATAGAACGAGTAGGTACCCTAAAACACAGGTGTTCGATCAGCTGAGAATCTATGGCAGAATTAACAATTTTGTGCAAAGTACATAAGTCTGACACTTGCCTACGATCCTCAAGACTGATCATGCCAAATTTGCACAAGCGATCACTGTAATTCGGCAGCTTACGTCGCAGTCCAAACTTTGCACTAAGACATCTCAAGAATCGTCGCTGAACAGACTCAATTCTTTCAATGTGGACATTGTATATAGGACACCAAACGGGCGCGCAGTATTCCAAAATACTTCTAACCAAACAATTATACAATAATATTAATGAGGCTGAATTTCGGAATGGTTTAGTGTTACGGAGGATAAAGGATAACGACCTATGCGCTTTATTGCATATGTAGTCGTAATGGGACCTAAACGACAGGACTGTATCAAACATGACACCCAAGTCCTTAACAGCACTTACTCGGTCCAATATACCATTTTTAATACTGTATGCATGATTCAATGGCTTCTTATTTTTGGTGAAAGTGATTACCTGACACTTTTTAGTATTGAGAATCATACAGTTGTTGTTGCACCACTTTGTTATCGTGTCAAGATCTATTTGAAGAGCCAAACAATCCTTCAAGGAATCAACTCGACAGAAAATCTTGATGTCGTCAGCATAAGCAAGACAATCACTCTTAATCGTGTTCAAAAGGTCATTAATGAAAGCTATGAATAGTAAAGGACCAAGATTTGATCCTTGAGGCACACCAGACATCGCAACGAATGGAACAGATTCAAATCCACTCAGGGCCACCAGTTGGGAACGGTTCATAAGATAAGACGAGAGCCAGCGGTGGAGATTACCGTGAATACCAAGGTGATATAACTTAGAAAGCAAAATTGCATGATTAACATGGTCGAATGCTTTTGAGAAATCCAAATAAACCACGTCAACCTGACACCTATCATTAAATGCATCGCAGAGGTAAGTCATGTAAGCAAGTAAATTTGAAGTAGTTGAGCGGCCAGAAATAAACCCGTGTTGATTCGAACTGAGCAGATGCTTAAGGTGTTTATAAATATGAGTGTATACTAAGCTCTCAAATATTTTAGCAAACCAACTCAGAATACTAATGGGCCTATAGTTAGTGACATTGGCTCTATCACCAGACTTATGAATAGGTGTAATCCTTGTGATCTTCCACAGTGAAGGAAACACGCCACTAGATAAGGACATATTATAAATAATAGTTAATGGTTTCACGAGAGCCGAAGCACAAAGACGTATAAAAACCGGTGGAATGCTATCCGGACCAGCGCTTTTTGAGATATCAATACTCCTAAGTTTACTCATGACGAGCTCAGATGACAATGAAAGCTTAAATGTTGACAAATTAGACGGAGAAAATTCAGGGGTATATGTCGAATTATTTTGGGCCCCATAAACTAATGAGAAGTAATCAGCAAAGAAGCCCACTATGTCACCACCACTATCAGACTCGCGGTCATTATATCGCATTCGCTTTGGGTACGTGTTTGTTACCCTTTTACATTTGGTGTAACGCCAGAAAGCTTTAATATTTACTGATAAATTAGTCTCAATACGATCAATATAATCCCTCAAACATTTCTCCAGTACAATCTTCACCCTCGTTCTCAGCATTGAAAAGGTGTCGTAGTCACGGGGATTACCATGCTGTTTGAAACGATGGTGGCATTTATGTTTGTTTTGAATCAACCCAATCAGATTTTTTGAAAACCAAACTGGGTACCCCTTCTTACGTGTCTTGGTTCTAGGTGTATGCTTTTCAATAATCTCATAGATAATGTTATAAAATGTATGCACAAATTCATCACAATTACATTCATGAGTTAATGCTAAACGATCCCAATCAATTGATGATAGCTCATCCATGCAACTCGCGATATTAGTTTTATAAAAGCATAGTTTACTGCATACTGACCTAGTAATCTCCAGTAGTGGGATTTTATCGACAAATGTTACTTCTAAGGGAGGATGATGAGCGTCTAAACGGCTTAAGGGTACAGTATTGGTTAGTGAGAAGGACTCTGGGCTATCAGGGATCACCAAATCCAGTAGTCTTTTGTTATGATTAAATACATTATTTAATTGAGTTACATCAGCGAGTTGAAATAAGCCAGAAAGAGCTCGCGATTTGTCACAATTGCAGGTCATTATATGACCTTTATCTTTAGACCATATAATGTCCCCCAAATTAAAATCACCGATAATAATTGTTTTGGCATTTGTGTTGGAATTTACTATATGTTTACACTTAGTCACAAAATTTAAAAAAAATTCAACAGGCAGATATTCTGGTAAATAAACAGTGCACAAATTAATAGTTATTTTATTGCTAATTGTTATTTGTATCCATAAATCCTCCACAAAGTCCGATTGCCATTCTGTCCTATTTACAAAATTAAGGTTTTTGGAGATCGCCGCCAGCACCCCCCCTCCATGACGTTTATTGAAGCGTTTAAGGAATTCATCACTTCTGTCTCTACGCACTACGCAGTATCTGTCATCAAACAATTCTGAAGAATCAATACCGTCATTGAGCCATGTCTCCACCATACATACTACATCAAAGTTATTACATAAAAAGGAATGGTAGATATCATTAGTTTTGCTTTTCAAACCTCGTACATTTTGGTAATAAATAGACATAGCCATTTCATTGATTGAATTTCGATGAACGTATAAATAAGCACTAACTAATCAGTATTACTCTAGCGTATGAGTTCTAGACTATCTTGGTTCTTGATGTAGATATACGAAGAATCGGAGTCTTTTCTCACGTAGATGCGACCATTGCGCACCCATACGAACTTGTACCCAGCCTCCTTTGCTGTCTTTCTCGAAGCCGCATGTAGACTCTTGAAGAATGGGGACAGATGCTCAGAGACATAAACTGGCTTTTTTTCACCCGCTATTCCCAGGTGATTTGTGTTTAGTTTGTCATTTGGGTGAGCTTTATTGTAGCGGTACACAGCTGAGTAGAATTCGTCGCGGCAACGAACACTCCTAAATTTGGCCACTATTGTCTTCGGAAACTTGCTATCTTTGTTTAGCTTGGCAACTCTCACACAGCCAACTATGTCGCCGTCATTCAGTTGATGTCCAATAAATTGCGAGCATTGTTGTAACACATTTGTTAAATTTTCCGAACGAAATTCAGGGACACCATGTAACTCTAAGTTATTTTCTCTTAGATACTGTTCGAGGTTATTTAATCTATCTTCCAGACCGTGAACTGTGGACTGGAGGAGCTGGTTAGCACCTTTTAGTTGGGTATTATCTTTGACTAATGTATCAATAGTGAGTTTAAAATCATCATGCGCCTCGCTGATAAATTCTACTGACTTACGAAGTTCCTGGATATCAGTCTTGATGGTAGAGAGCTCTTTGTTTAGTACACGTGAAAAAATTGATGGGAGCTCCTGGCGGATAGATTCAAGAACGCGTTCAGTAATTGCATCAATCAACTTGCACTGCTTAGTATCTTCCTCTGTTTCATTGGAGCGAGACCCTTCACTGCTGCTGACAGGTGTCACAACATTGCCCTTATTGCGAATTGTAATATTACTATCCTGTCGCTCGCTATGAGGTTCCGCGTCTTGCGAATCACCAGCTCGAGTACTACGCACTGGCGTGTTGGAGTTATCTCCCCCTTTGCGTCGACTACTGCAGCAAATGACGCAGCTCCATGAAGTCTTGTAAGTATGCGAAAGCTTTTTATACTCATTTAAATTCATACGACAGCAGTCCAAGTCATAACTTTTACTACAGAGAGAGCATTGTAAGTAATACATGCCCAAATCAGTTAGGCAACCCGCACATTGCATTTTTCTTGGCATAGTGGTGAATATAATTGAATATCAAAAATAATAAATAACAAACGACAAATAAACAAAAACAAAAAAAAAGTAAAAAACCGGTATAATTTTTCACCACAGGACAGTATCGAACCGACAGCCGTGAGCATACGCGTTGACCGCTCTACCACAGCACCAAACTCGCTGATAAGTGTTTGGGCGAAATAGCGATACAATAGTGTCCGCTCAGATGTTAGACTGTTACTAATGACTTCAAGGTCTTCTTTTGTTATAGTTCGATAGCCCCGACACACAATTTAGAGGTTACTAGGTCACTTCAAGTTTTTATTTGCTTATTACGGGCGGCTCAAGACTAGAATTGTAGATATATTTACACCACAAAATTATACACAGTATTAGGAACGCACTGATATGAATTTAAAAAAGGAATAACTAATTTTTACACATGAAATTGAATTAAATATGAAGTCACAAAAAAAATACGTGTTGCTCTGTCCAATACTACACTGCTATGTTTTATTATAATATTATTATTTTTATTTGTCATGAAAGTACTCATTTAAATTGTAATAGCATTTATTAATAAGATGTAATTTTAATTTATTTAGAAACAGTGAATACTTTTCCTCGTTTTTAATAATGGGCGGGAGCTCATTGAATATCCTCATCGCCATCGAGTGGGGATTTGAGCTGTGTATGTGTAGCCGAGATCGTGGCAGATGCAATCTATTGCGTGGTCTAAAAGTGTGTCGTTGAGGCAGGTCGTCAGTGTTAGTGGAAAAGTCAGGGTGTTGTTTAATAAATTTACAAATTTCTAAAATATATATAGAACACAAAGTCAACATTTTAAATTGTTTCAAGTGCGGTCTCCAGCTATCCGTACTACTCAAATTGCCAAGAATACGGATGCATCTTTTCTGGATTGTAAATATTTCTCGCGTGTGCACACTATTTCCCCAAAGGATAATTCCGTAACTTAGGCGGGAATGAGTGTAAGCATAATAAGCGGCCATTGCAGTCATTACGTCAGTCGTTTTCTTTATCTCTCTCAATGCGTACGTGAAACTAGACAACTTTTTCTTAATTTTTTTGTATATGACATTTCCAATTCACATGCGTGTCTACATTTAAACCCAGCAAAGTGAAGCTGTGTACTGTTTCTACAGGCGTGTTATTATATGCGTATACTAAGTGTAGTCGAGTTTTTTGCGGTGGGTGAAATTGCATTATCTTTGTTTTATTTAAATTTATATCCAAGTTATGGTCAGACATCCAGTTTATGACCTCAGTGAAAACTTGGTGAATTTTTGCATTCACGTTGTCGCCGGTAGCACATGATGTCAAAAGTGAAACATCGTCGGCAAACATGACACAGTGTTCAGAAATAGTAAATCTATTAGGTAAGTCATTGATGTAGATTAGAAAAATTAAAAACTTCCAATCACGCTGCTCTGCGGTATTGAACTTGTCATGTAATGCTGGTCAGATCTAACGTTACGTATTGTACATGTATTATAGTAAAAAAATTCTATGTCAACATACTGAACTCGTTTTTTGTAAATAAGACTGGAACCACTTGTATGCTTCTCCCCTAATACCTATACAATACCGTTTTCTTATTAGAATATTATATTGCATTTTATCATAGGCTTTCGTCATATCTAATAACAATCCGATCGCGTACCGTCGCTTGTTCAAAATTTTTAATATTTGTTGTGTAAGCATTTTAAAATTATATTCATACAATGTATTTGTAATAGTCATAATATTATAGAAGATAGATAATGAGTACAGTTGTTGATTTGAACAAGTCCTGAGTATAGGACTTGAGTAGCCATGTGATGTTGAATATTACCGTTTAGGAACTTAATTATACAGCCTGCACGGTAAAAACAGACTACTTAGAAAAAGAGAAAATTCTTTTTAAGAAGACAAATTTATTAGACGCTAGAGAATAATTACTTGAGTAAAAAAACGTCTCAAAAGTGTATTTTAGTTACAAGACAGAAATAAATAATCCAAGAGCAAATTAATTTACTTCAAGTCACAAAGCCACTCTCGATTCAACAAAATATTTGTTTGTTATTAGAAATGTCCGATTTTGATTTGAAAAAAAAAGAATGAAAAATTGAGAGGTATTTAATTATTTGACTGAAGATTTATGTTTTCTAATATCAAAAGGGTAAATTTACAGGGTTATGGACCCAACAGTATGTTTCACTGGCGTGAAAGCAAGAGCACACAGTTCAGTGCCAAACCTTAAAGTAGCAGAAATAGGACGGAGTCTTCTCAAATACTTGAGGACCATCCAGTGCCGTATAAATGCTACAGCGGCAGAAAGCACTAACAATTTCAAATAAAATATATGAGATGACTTTATACTATTGAAATTAACAAAACGATAGCGCGTTTCAGAGTACAACTAATGCCATCTAGCAGTGGCGTTATGGAACTAATTGCATGTTAAAGTTGTGCTTGTTACAAGTGTAGTTTGATTTCATGCTGTAACCAAATTTCTTAAATTATGACTATAAATAACACCCTGACAAACTAGAGATACTACGTATTGTTTCTTTGGATAAATGACTGGTTATGATTTTTATGATTACAAGCACAAGTAAAAGTAATTGTTACCGCGTGCGCCTTCGACGACATGTCACGACAACATTGACTATGAAAGCGCAACGAAATGTTGCTTTAAGAATATACTCTAGAATTTTGAATATTAATCTGAATCGAAAACTACTTCTTTTTTTGTTTAAGAATATATTTTCTTAAAATACACACAAAGAAATTTTGAATTCATTTAAGATTATTTAAATTTGATGTAAGAGGTAAAAATTTCGTGACGTAAGTAATGTCCAATTAATTGTTTAGAAATGAAATAAAATCTTGAAGTGAACGTCTTTGTCTAAAAGTTAGAATAAAGTTAAGAGTAAAATTGTATTAGAAAAAGATAAGCAGTATTTTTGTAATGACAATATTTTATTACTTTTAATAAATATTTTTTCAGAATTAGCAAATATTTTGAGAAATTGCTCTTTCTTATTAGTAGAAATCCTTTTTTTCTGTGTGATTATTATTGTTCATTACATACACATACATCACGTTAATTATATGTATATTATCCTTATTACTATAAGTAAATCTAACTGTGGTTTTAATGTACAAATGTTTAGTCTAATCAGTATTGAGTATAGGATTTGATTCGTCGTTTTCGTGTTGAATAGTGGGGTAGTTAATAAAAACTGTGTAGTATTGGTAAAATGTTTAGTTCTGTTGTAGATTTTTAGTTTGAAAATACGAATAAACGAATAGTGCAAGAAGTTGTGTTTCTCATTTTTACAGTTGTATATATTTATAAACGGCTAAAGTAGTACATCTGCTTTTTCTAAAACCATTTTGTGAATCAGTGAACAGTTCATCCTTTTCACAGTAAGAATATATTCGATTGCACATAGCCTTTTCAAATACCTTATTAGACGATGTGGGTAGTAGTGCTACTGGTCTATAATAATTTGGGTCCGGTTTAGTACTTTTTTTGTGTATAGGTTTTATAATGGCTACTTTTAACTGGTCCGGAAAAGTTCCTTCAAGAAAAGATTGATTCACTAGTAGGTAGTACGGCAAAGTTAGTTCATCAGCACACATTTTGATCAATTTTGGGGGTATTTCGTCAATTCCATAGCTATGTTTATTTTTTAGGTTACGAATTATGTTTTTTATTTCTTGTGGTGAGACGAGGGTAAGGTACATGGTGTCTTAGTTTGATTAACTATAGGTCGCCTACATCTTGAGTTAGACCCCCTTCTCCCACTGATGCGCAAAAATTATTGAATGTATTTGCAACTTGCAGGGAGTCGCTTATATTTCGGTTTTTTACGGATAACATTATGTTTTCTTTACTTTTTATAACTGTTTTGTTAGTAGTTTCCCTAATTGTTCTCCAGACGCTTTTTACAATATTACTTGAGTTTCTAATACGCGCTGCATAATATAAACGTTTAGCATGATTTACTGACCGTTTTAGAATTCGGTCATATGTATAACTTATAGAGTTTGTGGAGAATAGGGTTTTTTGAATTGTTAACAAGTAATTTTAAATATCGTTTGTTTTTGCACGATGTTTTTATTCCCCGGGTTAACCGATGATTTTTGTTTTTATTGCATAATTTAATTGTCCTTTTAGGTATAAATGAATTAAAAATATTTTTTTAAATGTCTTAAAAATAAATTATAATTTTTATTTATGTCATTATTTAAGTTAAAATGTTATACCAGTCAATATCCATCAATTCCGATTTAAAATTAGTCATATTTTTATAGTAAAAAAGCGTTTCTCTGTTATCCAAGAAATAACATCCTTATGTGCTAACTCGTGGATTTTTATGAGTACGCCTTTATGGTCGGAAAAGCCTAGATTCTGTACTGAAGTGTTTAGTGCATTTGTGTCAAAATTATAAAATATTAAGTGTATACAGGTAAAAGTGTTAGTAGTTTCACGCGTGGGTTCATTAATTAATTGTTTAAAATTATACTCTAACATAAACTCTAACAGTCCATTGCTTATATATGTATATATATTATATTTGTCTTATTTTGTGTTACCAACATATAATGTTTGAAAACTGCGACAAGGCAAATACTTGGAACCTCTCTAAAATATGGATTTTTTTTCTTATTATTGAGGAACAAACAGTCTTATACAAATTACGAAATAAAAATACATTTAACTTATTACTAAACCTATAGTTCCCTGTACTTATAAGTGAACAAATAAAAGGTATAAGCAAAGACGAGCAATGCTCAATTAAAAACATGTTTGTTAGTTACTGTAATTATGTAGGTAATAATAACAAATAAAAAAAATATAAATGAACTTAAAGAAAACAAAGAAAGATTGAACAATTAATGATGAACATACGAAACCATTTTAAAATCTGATTTGCTGATGTGACTTTTAAACTCCTGTAAAGAAGAATGAAATATGTCAACTTCACTACACTTTGCATTGTATAAGG